AGCTTGTAAGCAGTACAGAACGGAACAGGTAAAGCCGTGGAGGGATGAACGGGAGGCCATGACCAGGCGGCAGCCACTTCTGTGCATTCTCTCCTTAAAGAAGCCAGAAGCTCTCCAGAATCCCACCCTTTGTGTCAAGTAGTTATAATTTTTCACTTTTCACCATTTCCCAGATTGTGAAACCTAAACAGTTTTAAAACCTAGCAACTCTGTACTACAAGGGGAGAGAGGCCTTGCGCGCTGAGTTGGTTTCCAAGACGGATATCTATTTACAATTCAAATTGGATGCTGGAACAGTTGGCATCAAGGACTCAGAGCAAGGGAGTTAAAACCAGAACGTCTTTCTCTTCTATTTTATCTTTTAATTGTGTTTATGCTTGGGTGAACTATACTAGGATGGCGGAGGAGGAAAAAAAATGAATGCCTCCCCCAATGACAAGGACCACCTTGAATAAACACAAACTCTTCTCACAGAGCGGAGGACGCAGCTGCCCAAGGCCATGTTCTTCTGCATCCGCATCCACCCAGACTCTTCCTCTGAGAAGTGTATTTAACCTTGCTGGCCCTGGATGGCAGGAGTCACTGCCTGCTCACAGACCAGGTCTCATTGATGAACAGCGCTAACTCCTCCTCCTCTATTACTTTCTTAGACATGATTTGACATTTAATATGGTACTAGGACCCTGGCATGATTACTGGATGGCATCAATTCTAACCACTCAGATAGCCGTCCTAACACATCAGTTCTCGAGATGGATAGGTTTCTAAATATCTTCACTATCACCCCTGCTCTGGATGCCTGGATACAATCAGGAAAGTCTGATTCAGCTGCCGCTGGAGTCTAGTTGGCAAGAGAATGAGAACGCTACCTCCTGCAGAAGATTTAGCCCACCGTCTGCCTGACCTCTGGCCTGTGTAGACCTAGGGTCAAGTACTAAGAGGTTCATTATTAGAGAATTAACTCACAGCTTCAGTTTCCTTCCGGATAAACTAGGGGTAGCAGCAGTACCCACTGGAGATGGGTGGAGTGATGGGCCAGTGAACAGATGCTCCCAGGTGGTCAGTGTGGGCCTGGTACACGGAACACAATGAAGCAAGAAGTTCTTGGTGCCCCTGGTTGCTTGCCGTTGGGGTACCACAAGGATAGAATATGTTAATGTCTTGGACAACTAAGGATAGCTCTCGTCTGGTAAGTACTCAGTTCATGCTAACCATCATTACCATCCCCCTTAGTGCCACATCTGGGATTGTTAGGGTCACCAGCTACGCATTTATCTTTTAAACAGAGTTCTGTAGTGTTCCTGGGATTATAATGGCTCATCTGGTGACTAGAGCATTGGACGGCAAAGGTAGAGATCTGTATGAGGCTGCCTTACATGGAAGCAACCACAGTATGGCTTAGATATTTGATATTACATCAAACTAAGCCTAAGTCATAACCCAGGGAGCTGTTTCTACAGGAGGAGCCCTTTGTGGCCTGAGGACCTCCGAGTGCCACTTTGCCTACCTGCGACAAACTGGGAAAACCCATACTTCTTGAATGACTTCTGTGGGCCTATTGCAAAGACAATGTGCTTGACACAACAACCATGAACCATACTCCTATGGAGGTGTCACACTCAAGACTAAAGCCCAGGTGATAACCAGAATGACTCAGTTTACCTAGTAGGTGTGTCAATGGTGCAGCCCACAGGTACTACACGTACCAAAGGAGCTATGAATATAGTCCAGCACAAAAGTATAAACTTAATTAAAATGTCATGAGTTTTTGTTTTGCCATTTCTTTTGGTAACTAGACAGCATATTGTGGACTTTGCAAATAATAACATCATGTCACAATATCTAAATGCTGAACATGCCTGATCCAACATGGGCCAGCCGACGTTAAAGCTCAGTGCTCCTGGGTTAGGTATGTGGCTGCTTCACCAAAGCCCCATTCGATTGCTGGCTCAGAACTCGCCTGTGTTCTTTGCTCTCAGCAAGCCTCCTTGGGTGCTTAGCAGAGAATTTGCCTTTGTACATGCATGTTTTCCTGCCTGGTGCAGTCCCAGCTGAATGAGAACTAGAGTGTCAAGAGTGGAACTTACAAGAAAATCACTCAGAAAGAAGAGATGTCTCTCAGACGAAACCTCTGAAAGAGAGCTTTACCCCTGGCCAGAGCATATGTAGTGCAGGAGGTGGGTCAGAACCACAGACGCCACTAACCTACGATCTCATCTTCTAAGAAAGCATTGAGAGACTTCCGAAAAATGGGTCTCCAGGTCATGCGTGCGTGCGTGTGTGTGCGAGAGAGAGAGAGAGAGAGAGAGAGAGAGAGAGAGAGAGAGAGTGTTGCTTGCTTCTTTCACTGTCCATTCCTTAATTCTTGGGAAACCTATCCCTAAAGTGACTCTCTGTCTTGCTTGCCCGATCACTAGCTCTCAGGTTCCCACTGTCTACTGCCTTCCGGAATCACCATCCCCAGCACCCCAGGACTCTGGTGGGTATTGGTTATTCTTTCTAGCAGAGGTAGCAAGGGCTGGTCCAAGAACACTGTGGTCCTGAGTAGGATCCCAGGCTATCCTGAAAAGCACAGGACACGGGAGAGAGTCCTCTTGACAACCCTCCCCCGTCTCTGTGATGGGTCATTTACCTACATCTTACTATTCACACCCGAGGTGGTTCTAGGAGTCAGCGACTGTTCTAGGAGTCAGCTAAGGAGGGAGGTTTTAACAAGTGGGATTCCCATCCTCCCTGCCCACATTGTTGTTTCCGTCTCCATGCGTGGCCAATGCAATAAGCCTCCTCCCCCCAGGTTAAACATGGGTGGGACTGACTGCAAATGGAACTGGTCTATCGATGACAATCACATGGCATAGATATAGGACCAAGATGACTACATCAAACTAGGAGGAAGTCATAATGACTGACCAAGCTACATGTCAGTCAGCCCAAACGCCAGAGTCAGCACGGGGCAAGGTGCTGCAGCAGACCTCAGTGTGGGCTAGGTGGTGGTTTTCTTCAGGTAAGGGGCAAAACAAAAAGCAGTCGGGATCCCCAGGTGAAACATATCACAGAGGATATGCTCACAACACCGAGCCCTGAGTTTCAGTATACACTCTAAATGTAAATGCTCCTCTGGAAACTCCTGATGGCCTGCTGGAAAAATCTGACTATGGAAAGTGGAACTTTCAAAATGCCTTTGACAGGAAAGAGAGACACTACGTGTAACTGATCTTCTCATTACATTTTAAAAATTAAAAGTCCCTGGCGAAATAGAAGATACTCAGTAAGAAGTTTAGCAAATTGATGAGCAAGGGTGTTTGCTTATGGGAGAGGCAGCACATGTTCTTATAACAGAACTAGTGGGCATCTAGGCCCTTCGTTTCCCCATCGCCAAAGGTCACCCAGTGGTCTGGGCCAGGCAGAAACCCGGAAGTGCAGAAGGCCCATCTTAGCATCACGGTATTTTCCAGTATCCCAGAATGTGACTTCACCAACTTCTGTTGCGACCGATGGTTCTCTGGCAACACACCAGGAGAACGGCCATGGGAAAGTAGCCCGTTTTTGCCTGTGCTTAGGGGCTGGCGGCACATAGTGTGTTAACTGAACATCGGGGAAAGTTTTCAGAGTTCTTGGGGAAACCGAGGATGAGGAGAAGAATAACGCCGAAAGGGGCTCGTGAAGCATAATGGAGTCCATAGGATGTATTGTGCATTACGGAGAGAGATAGTGTCAGAGCGAAAGCAAAGAGCGGGAAGAGACACCTGCCTGCAGGCTAGGGTCCCCAGGGCTTCAGCATTTTGGATTCTGGTCGCTCTCTGTTTTGGAGGGGCCTGACAGCACGGCGCATCCTCTGTTCGTGTGGATAATGAAGTTGGACAAAGGAGGGGCGCACGCAGCATGGGACGCCCGTATGTTTGGCTCCTCACAAATCCCACAGAGGACCGGATTCGCCCACTGTCTGCCATCCTCTCTGAGACCTCACCCTTTTCCTGAAGGCCACCTCAGAGCCCTGCTTCCCACATGTCCACCACGATTTGGAGGCTCCCGACAGGGGTTGGGCTCCGCGTGCAGAAGTCTGAAGGGCCGGGCGCCAGCCTCAATCCAGGGGGCACCCTGATGGTGTGACAGGCTCCTTCAGAGAGCGCATTCCAAGAAGTCCCGGACCAGGAGCACCTCGAGGTTGTGGTCCCGCCCACCCATGAAGAGATGGGGACAAGCTGAGATCGTGCGCTCTTGGGGACCCTGGAGCCCACCGGCCGACTTTCCGGCAAGGTCTCCGTCTCTCTGCGCCTGCTGTGAGTGCACAGCAACCCGGGGTCGCCTGGGGAGTCGCAGGTTTGGCTGAACATTCAAAGCCAGCAGAGAGCCCGGGTCTCCAGCCCCGCGCGCCACACCTTAAGCAGTGCCAACCCCCCACGCCGGGATCCTGAGCTGGCTGGCGGGAGGCGTGGGAGCGTGCCTGTGTGTGTACAGCATATTCCCCTTCTCCGGAGTCGGTGCAGAGTCTATCTCACTCAGCTCCCGCCAGGGGATTCCCCTCCCCCAGCTCAGAGATCCCCGCGCGCCCCCTGCCCACTTTGCCAAGGCGAGAAAGCGGCCGAGCCGGAGACAAAGAAACTCCTGCCTCCCTCCACTCTCCGTCCTTCTACCCGCCCGAGACACTCCCCGGCGCCCTCCCTCGACCCCGGCGACACCGGCGAGCGCAAACGCCAGGGGAAGGGACCAGGGGACAGGGAACAGGGTGAGCGAGTCCGCTTTCTCCACGCCGTGCGGCTACAGCTGTCCGTGTACCCCGCCCGGGGACACCCCTCGGTAGCCGCGCCCCCATCATCCACTCCCCAAAGCGTCCCGGGCCCCTGACACTAACAACCCCAGCCCAAACCGCCAGCCACATCCCTCCAGCGGAGCGACAGGGGGGCGCGGCGCACACAAAGCGGATGGGGAGCGCGGAGCCTGGGGAGGGGAGGAAGAGATCCCGCCGGAGCTCGCGGCACGGACCCGGGGTGGCTATTTACCCGATTTCTTCTTCGATCTCCGAAATGTCTGCGAAGATGAGGAAGACCACAAGCAGCGTGAGCGCGGCCAGCATCCAGCTCCGGAACTGCAGCTGCATGGTGGGGTCGGCGCCCTCCGGGACCCGCGCGCGCAGGCCGGGGCGAGGAGCTGGGGCTGGAGGAGCCTCCGCGCTCCACGCGCAGCGGGGCACACACCCTGCGCTCTGGGCGAGTCCGGGCCGGCGGCGGCCAAGGCGACAGCGGCAGCGACAGACAGGGGTTGCTCAGGCGCGGCGAGCCCTCTCTCTCTCTCTCTCTCTCTCTCTCTCGCTCTCTCTCGCTCTCTCTCGCTCTCTCTCGCTCTCTCTGTCTTTCTCTCTCTCTCGCTCTCTCGTTCTCTCTCGCTCTCCCTGCTCCTGCCCGCCCCTCCCCTCTCCCCTCCCCTCCCTCCTCCTTTTTCCCCCTCCCCAGGCCCCACACCGGGCTCCGGGCGCAGTTTGACAGCTTTGCTCCGCGCCTTGCCTAGCCTCCTCCCACTAACTCCAGCGGCCAGCCAGCTGCCTTTGCGACTCCCACCCGGGAGGGCTCAGAGAGTCTGCCACTCCCGGCCTAGGCAGGCTGGGCTTGGGCTATCGAAAGCGATCCGGAGACTGGCCTGAGCCACGGGGTAACTCGGGGCACTGGGGCTGGCTGGCAAGTGGCCTCCGCCTTCCTCTCTTTGTCCAGCGCCCTCGCTTCCTCTCAAAGTTTTCCTGACACAAAGACTAACACCTGGGGACGGTCTCCAGCGCGCAACGAGGAGGCGGTTTCCTCTGGGCTATGTTTCAGCAGTTGACAAATTGGGAGGGGAAGTGGAAGAGAGGAGGGAAGAAGAAATGCCTAAGACAGGTCAACTTCAGCAGAGATGCTCATGGTAATTTGTGGGCGAGGTACCCAGCCTGAAAAACATCACCTCCTCTATGGGCGGTCATCTCCATCCATTTTTAGACCCAAACCTGGGAGTCTGGAGCTCCCCGAGTTGTTTGAGGTCTTGGCTAGAACCCTCGGATCCCCGTGTAGTACCTGTTCTACCTCCAATAGCAGGCATAGTACCCTCATTGTGGCTGATGCTGTATGCTCATCTCCCTAGCTCTTGCTCTTTCCTGGTCTAATCAATAACCCCCTGGAGTCCTATCATGATCAAAGGCCTTCTAGAAAAATACGGTTCCCATAAAGGAAGATGCACTTTCCCACACCCTATACTGGACTGTTCCCTCCTTCACACACTTTAGCTCATGTTGCATTTTGCACTGCCGTGTTAAGTGAAAGACCCATTCATTAAGTTTTACTAGAACTAGATAACAAACAAACACACACACACACACACACACACACACACACACACACACGGCCCTACATGTAACTTTCCAGGAGCAGATGTCTTTTCCCAGAGGAGGGCTGTGCCCTTCCACAGTACTCCCTCGCTTTCCCTCCCCCTTGCCATGATCATGCATGTCTGTTCCCTTCACAGCGAGCCCCTGAGAGTAGCACCCCCCCTTTTGTCCCCAGACATCAGAAGAGGGTATCTCAGAGCTGAGGAGGTGGCTCAGTCAGCAAAGGGTTTAGTGTTCATGAAGCATGAGCACCTGATGTTGGATGCCCAGCACCCAAGTCCGCAGCTGTGAAAGTAACTGCATCTCTACCTCCAGTGCCAAGGGGTAAGGGCAGAAAGAGGCAGGTCCTGGGGCTTGCTGGTCAGCCAGTATAGCTGAATCGACAAGCTCCAGGTTCAGTGAGTGACTCAAAAATTATGTCTCAAAAATGAGGGTAGAGCATTACTGAGGAAGACAGCCAGCATCAACCTCTGGACTCCATATACTCATACAAGCATATGTGTATGCATTTGTAATACATTGTACACCCTACATGAACATTAGCAATACAACACACACACACACACACACACACACACACACACACACAGAGAGAGAGAGAGAGAGAGAGAGAGAGAGAGAGAGCTACCTTTTCTGTCCGTGTGACAGGATTTTCTAAGCACCTTTCTCTGATTTGATGGGCATTCAGGAGGTGTGTGTTATTCTTGACAATATTATGTCTTGTTTTTCCCCATTGGCCTCATTCACCAGCAGTAGTTATTGAACAGCTATCCTGTGCCAGGTTCTGTGCTAGAGGCTAGAGATAACAAGAGTCAAGTTGTTTCCTGCCCTCTAGTAGCCGTCAGGGTTCAGAAGGAAGGCAAACATGCAAGTGTCTGATTATGACATAGGATATAAACTGCAGCGGAGCTGTGGTCTCCTACTTGTAACTAACTGATTAGTAAGATCACTCCAAAGAGCAAGAAGAAACCAGCTTGGCTCTGAATGTTTCTCTAGCTATATATTTTCCTTATTTTCTGCGTTGTGTGTGTGTGGTTTTATATGTGTGTGTATGCATATGTATGCATGCATGCATTATGTGGAGGTCTGAGGTTGATGCTGGGAATGACCTTTGATCAATCTTGCATTTTGTGCAATGGGGCGGGGTCTCTCCATCAAACCCCAAGCTCACCGATGTAGCGAACCTTGCTAGCCAGGTTGCCCTGGGAATCCCTGACTCTGCCTTCTGAGGCTGGAACTACAGATGGGCTCCTAGACCCACCTGTAATTATGTGGATTTCTGAGACTATCAACTCCTGTCCTCATGCTTGCACAGCAAATGCCTTACCCCCTGCGCCCTCTCCCTAGTCCCCAACGATTCTCCTTCTTGTGACAGAACCTCATGAGGTAGTGCCACAGTGCTCAATTCATCGGGTCGGGAAACCTCACTGCTGTGAAGGCCATTACAATGAAGTCTTTCCATTTTCTGTGTGGTGACTCATGTTCTCATTCCAGGCTCAGCAGTATTCCTCCTTTGCATCCACTAGAAAGGAACCATTCCGAGTGGCCAGCAAGCAATGGAAACTTGCACCAAATACCATTCCTTATAGAGAAATTTGTGCGCTCAGGCTTTTGGAGAAGGCATCCCGGGCATATCTACTGGGGGAAAAAAGAAAGAACTTAACATTGTAGAGGCTCTCCTTCCAATGAGTCATTGAGGTGGGATTTGGCTTATAGTGTAGTGTGGGACCTTGTCACTACTCACCATAGAATATTATCTAAGGCATTTAGGCACTTTTCTTGTGACCTTATCAGTGACCTGTGTGTTTTCTCTGCCACCTGAGTTCATTCCTGGAATTTGGAATGAGAATGAATGCTCAGAGTGGCAGTTAAGTGTCGATAGCTACTGCCTTAGTTACGGTTTCTGTCGATGCAACGAAACACCATGACCAAAAGCAAGTTGGGGAGAAAAGGGTTTCTTTGGCTTCGACTTATTGTAGTCTATCATTGAAGAAAGCTGGGACAGGAACTCGAACAGATCAGGATCCCGGAGGCAGGAGCTGATGCAGAGGCCGTGAAGGGTGCTGCTTACTGACTTGCTCATCATGACTTACTCAGCCTGCTTTCTAATAGAACCCAGGTCCACCAGCCCAGGGATGGCACCGCCCACAACGGGCTGGGCTCTCCTCCATTGGTCATTAAATAAGAAAATGCCCTACATCTGGATCTTATAGAGGCATCTTCTTAATTGAGGTTCTTGCCTTTCAGCTGACTCTAGCTGTATCGAGCTGACACAGCACTAGCCAGCACGGCTACAAGCACAAGCTTGTGGTTGCTTGGTTTGACACGCTGGTCCCTTCTCTTTTTCCATCTCGTTTAAGCAGGTCCCCTTTCCTACACTGGATTTCTCAGGAAAACTGGATGTCCTACAGCAATCATTTTTTTTTTTTTTAGGCCAAGTCATTGAATGCTTGGGCTAAAATGCAGGACTTATATGGGAGTATCAGCAAATTGAAAGTCATTACCACTCATTAACATTTTAATTCGAATTAATAGAGTATAGTAGCTGTTCAGGCAACTCTGAGGGGCTCAGAAGTTTGTGTTAATGAGGGATAGCGTAGAAGGAGGCCGTGCAGAAGTCTGTAGCACACGGCAGTCAGACAGCCCTTTGTCACTATTCGGGCTGAGGGTTGCAATTGTCCTGTGAGATGCCAACCTCAAGAAGCGGAACTTACCCAGAGCTGGAATTCATGAGCACGCGTCCACTTCGCCATCACTTTTCTAACTAACCCTCTTAATACAGACTGGCTCTGGAAAATTGGCACTTGAACACACTGCCTAGGGACATGTCAGATGGGGGCAGGAGCGTCCGGTAACGCACTGACATTCATGAGCACACGTGACTGCAAGGCAGGCTGACAGGCATTTCCCTTCGCTCTCTCAGACTCCCTCTTTCATAAAGAGCGTCATCTCCACTTTTCACCAGACAAACTCAAGCTCAGAAATGCTAAATTGTCTAAGTGGCTCAGTTAGTGGAGGGAATTCCAATTCAGATGCTTCCACCATGATCCTGGAATGCCAACGCTCCCTCAGGACTCTGGTAGTCCTAAATCTGTTTGTAAATAGCTTCTCCTTTGATTTGGACTGTATCCCCTTAGTTTTGTCGTGCCTGGGGCTTGGGGAGCAAATCCGTCTTCACTTCTGCACAGCCTCCATCATCGACGAGACAGTAACCATAAATCTCCATTTTCGTCTTTCCACACGGAAAAGTCCTTTCAATCGTTACAGAATAAATAATGATTATCCAACATTTGAACATTGTACCTAACACCCTTGGAGCCACAAAACACTGATACTTTTGCTTGTTCATTATCTCTGAAAGAGGGGAGGGAGGGAGGGGGGAGAGAGAGAGAGAGAGAGAGAGAGAGAGAGAGAGAGTTGGAAGATAGCCTGGGAGGGGAGTGGAAAGAGGCAAGATATCATAGTCTGGGTAGATTAATAAGTTAATGTGTTTCTGCACCTTCAATAACTGAAAGAGCCTGCCTTTTCATTTAAAATTTACACTACATTTGAGTGTTCTCAAAAAAACGCCATGCTCCCCTCTTCCAAATCCGAATCAGAGTGGTGACAATATAGAACCAGGAAGGGGCACATTTGCATCCTATCCGTAACTTTCCTACATAGCAGAATTGTAGTTTAGCCAGGGAATGGAAAGAAATATACTCAGGCAATTGCTGCAAATGTCTCTGAAATGATCAGCCAGCGATGTGGGGAGGCCGTGGGGATGTGCTCCACACTGAGCTGGGAGGGAGAGAAGTGTGCGTGTCAGGGGGTGTTGTTGCATTTTTTCCTTTGGGATTTTGACAAACCCTTCAGTGGAGGTGAAAGACATCTCAGAACCGAGCCGTGAAGTCTAGTGCCAGGAGGCAGAGAACAGAAGAGAATATTCTT